TCTAAACAAGTTTTTTCAAATATGAATATGGAATTACGAGTGATGCATTTTAATTAGGTATCTCGCTTTTTTCTTTGTTCTATATTTTATATTTCAAGTTGGGTTTTGATTATGCAAATAAGCATCGCATAATATTTCGCAACTGAGAAAATAATTTTACACTTCTCTTGTAAGTTACCAATATGATGGAGGAAGAGCCTGGATTGTATTATGTGGAGGACACGGAACCTTTAATTAGTCGCTCCAGTATAAACCGAGATAGTTCTGAGATTACTATGTCAACAGCCATGAAAGCTAGAGATCACGAAAATATGAGTAAAAAACGCGTGTTGAGAAATCTCGTTGTAACGGGATCTTCGTACTTTATATTTTTCTTAGGATTTCAATCTTTGTCAAATCTTCAAAGTACTATGAATTCTGATGGAGGTGTTGGAATGGATTCTCAAGCTTTAGTTTACGTTTGTGCTATGATATCATGTTTGCTGTTGCCAGATCTGTTAATAAAAAAAATTGGATGCAAAAGAACAATTGTATGCATGCTCCTAATGAGTGTTCCTTATATTGCTTCTAACTTTAATCCTTCAAGGATTATCATAATGCCATCTTCGGTTCTAATGGGTTTGGCTATTGGACCTCTCAATTCAGCTGGAGCCTTATATGTGAATGAAATGGCCTTACGCTATCATAAAATACAACCAGAAGAATCATTAGATTCAACTGTGTCTAAATTTTATGGTTTCTTTGGTTTTTTCTCTGAGAGCACTCAAATATGGGGTAATCTTATATCCTATTATGTTCTTTCGCCAAGCGCAGCCCATATACTAAATCATACCAATATCACTTGTGGAATTGACTTTAGATTTGGTGGCAACAGCTCAAATCCTAATCTAGAACCACCTACAGAAGACAAACGATTTTTATTAGTAAGCATATATCTTCTTAGCACTGTAACTGCTGCTACTTTGATGGGACTTTTCACTGATAAGTTAGACAATGATGTTGGCAACGGTGAACGTTCTTTGGGTTCTGGCACAACGGATCGTCTGCTCGCAACTATTAAGCAAGCTAGTGTTCCAGACCAAATATTGCTCCTTCCCATTTCAATATTTGTGGGCATAGAACTTTCATTTTATACAGCAGAATTTACGCAGGTAAGATATTTAACCTATTATTATTTGTGCATGAAAATAGTTTATTCTTGAAAATTTTTCACTCCAGTTTAAATAATTTATAAATTGTCGTGTAGAAAATTAAATGTCAAAAAATAAGTTCTATTCGAATCAACAAACATTCTTCAAATTTATGTTTAACATTTAGATTTAATTCGTGTCAATCTATATTTTCCTATTAACCTAGTGCG